AGAGAGAGAGAGAGAGAGAGAGAGAGAGAGAGAGAGAGAGAGAGAGAGAGAGAGAGGCGCAGCCCTGGGGCTTTTGTAGAGTCCGTGTCTTCATGGTGCCTGTGGCTTAGTTATCATCTCCTTTCTCTTACCCCACAAGTTGTACGTCTCTATACGGTACATGCATCTACTAAGTGTGCTGAAAAAACGGCGGAGAAACTGTCATGTGACAAAGCTCGGGGACATTTTTCTAATCTCTTCCAAACATGGAGATAAAGAGGACCCGTGTATGGGTTTCGCGATACGGAGGTTTATTTTGATTGATTTTGATTGGTCTGATGTGATGAACAAGGCTACAAGGTCAAAAAATTAAAAGACTAACTAAGAAATCACGCCGATGCCCACCTTGAGCGCGTCCTCGTGCGTCAGTCCGCTGAAGGGCGTGCCGTTCACCTCCAGGATCACGTCGCCCGGGCGCAACCCCGCCCGCTGGGCCACGCTGCCATCCTCGACGCGGGAGATGTAAACACCCGAGTTGGAGCCGCCTGCGACACAGACAAACGACGCTGGTAAGTAAGACACACTTTCAAAGACTTGTGCTGATTTTTTTTCTTTATTTGTAGTGTGGTGTATGATTTTTTTTATGGAAAACCTATTGTGCACACTAGTACGAATGCAGCGAGTCTGTAGTAGGCCTACGTGTATTCGTAGCTAGATTGACGCAGGCATATTTAATTCGTTAAATGACTTTGTATTACACACTAGAAACTTTTTTTTATAGAAAATATCATGATTGCGTTCCGAATATGGCCAGGGTCATGAAGAAATTTCGTCACATAACAAGTTGTTTAGTTTTGATTGATTAATGACTACTTTTAGGTCGATTACTTTTTAAGACACCTCTGTAAATTATGCGCAACCCGACAAACGGGGTCATCGCAAGAAATTGGTGGCTGACAACACACATTGCTCTTCTAGTTCAATGCCGTTTCCTGTCGCACTTCCAGGGCCCATATGGTGGGATAGGGTGGAGCGGAGCGGCGTGGCCGAACGAGATAGGAGGGGCTTTTGGGGAAAGGCCAAACAGATAAATTAAGTCGATTGCCACCAGGCCGACTTGGTGAGGTGTATAGGGGTGAGGGGTTGAGGGGTAGTATTGTTCCAACGAAGCAGCAAAAAGGGAGAGGGGTTGGGGAGGGTGGAGGTTGCGAATCAAATCAGCGAGGGGTGTCTGTCGGGGCTGGGGAGGGAGGAGCTTTCGGAGCACTCCCAAATACCCGACTAATAACAATCTGTCGATAATAATGTTGCTTCACGCTCGTCAAACCTGAGGGGGGGGGGGGGACTTTGATCATCGCTTACCTGGTGATGGGAAGCGGAACGGCATGGTGGGGTCCCCTCGGCTCCGGTCCCAGTCGATGGCTGAACAGAAAGTAATCATTAATATGTACTTTTTTAAGAAAAAAAAAACGAAAACAGAGCCGAACAAGCGCTGGCGTAGGTTTCTCAATGCTAGCTGCCTATCGGTCGATAAAAGGTCAATCAGCCGGAGGCGCTGGCGCTACATACAACCACCATGAAAGGGAAAAAAGAAGGAAACAGAAAAGAGTTGTACGTCTCTGTCACTCCTGTTGGTCCCCAGCGTATGGCCCAATAGTTTTCTTTGGCGATGCTCATGAATTTATGCCCATGTGGGCTTTGACTCAATGCAGATTTAAACGGACGAAATATATTTTAAATTGATTTGAGTAATTTCTCATCTTAAGATGTCCAAAATGACGTGTTTATGGCCTCGGACGTACCCGTGTCCTTGGCGCCTCCCTTGACGCAGATGCCGAAGCCGTGGCCGGGGCCCTGCACCACGCCCGGCTGGACGGCCTCGTTGGTCCTGGTCATGGTCACGGTCCTGACGGGCAGCTCGTGCAGCGGCGGGCTGGTCGGCGGCGGCCTCCTGCGCGGCGGGTCGCTCGCGGGCGGCGCCGAGCCGTCGCGCACCTTGGGGCCCACCCCGGCGCCCAGCAGCTTGAGCACCTGCTCCGGCGAGATGGGCCGCTTCTTGTTGTGCGCCGCGGCTGCGGCATGGTGGGCGACCTGGTGGATGCCCTGGAGGCCGCCCTGGTGGCCGCCCTGGTGGTTCCGCGACTGCGGCGGGCTGGGCGCGCCCAGGTACGTGCCCCTGGGCGCGCTCGACGGCCGCTCCACTATGGTGTAGGACGTCCCCGGCGGCGAGTAGAAGGCGCCGCCGCCGCCGCCCGCCCCGGCCCCCGGCCCCCGGCCCCCGTCGCCGTACCGAGAGGGCCGGATGGCGTCCTCGGCCTCGTGGCTGGTGGCCGCCGGCCCCAGGGCGGGGTACGGCCGGTGCGGGCCTCCCAGGCCGCCATGGCCGCCGTGGCCGCCGCCGTGCCCGAGCGAGCTACCATACTGATGCAGGTGGTGGTGGTGGTGATGGTGGTGGTTGGACTCCGCGAGCTCGGCGAACTCCTCGCCCTCCGCCATCCGGCATCACGCCACCTGCAAACATCAACACACAAAGATGCGTTTAGCAAAATTTAGTTGTAAATTGTTGGCTGCACTTCGAGCTTCGCGACGACGTCCCCATCACATTGAATCTCAACCTCTCCATAAGCGGCGGCGCTAACATCCGCGTACGCCGGCGTTCAACCGAAAACAATTAAAAAACAGACATCTGTGGTAGTATTTTAGTATTGCTCCGCCAATGCCTCAGACCTGTACTTGTTTGTGTCGTAGTAAACATCTCTACGCTTTTATCACGCAGCAGTATTACTGATTAATTCGTAACTTATTGTGTACATTTCTGTAAGCAACTGTTTTTGCTAAGCAAAATAAAGGAAAAAGGGGTCTATGTATAGAAATATAAGTTGCGTCACACTGATCTCAACGTAATCAGCCCAGCCAGCACCGATATTCGCCCGGACAACGTGCGCTGATAACGAGTTAGCACTAACAGATAGCTGATAAGGGCAGAGCCCCAATCACAGTGCCGCCCGCAAACCAGTCAACACGGCGGCGCAGGTGCGGGCCGACGACGACGACGCCGTCGACGACATGGCGCTCCTCCTGGGGGGGCTCGGCTGCACCAACAGCACCCTCAAGACCATCCTGTTTGTCTTCAACTGCGCGTTCGTGGTGGGTGTTGCTGGTCGCGTCGACTGCCCCCCCTGCTGCACACGACGTCGTCGTCGTTGTCGTCCGGGACCTCACTAGTTCGCGCCGGCAGCGTTGCAGGTGCTCGGCCTGGTGGCGTGCTCGCTGGCGACCGCCATGCTGACGACCGAGGCCGACTTCGTGGACGGCGTGCGCGAGGCGCTCTGGGCCTGCGTGGTCTCGGGCTTCGCGGCCACCTTCGTCTCCTTCCTGGGCGGGATGGGCGCGCTCAAGGAGAGCCCCAAGATCCTCATCGCGGTAACCACAATAAGGGATTTTATAAGTAGTCCGAAAATTTTGCGGAAAAATTAGACACTGCTCCAGAAAAAAAAACGGATAAATTTTCCCAAAGAGAATCAGAAAAAAAATATGAACAAAATAAGAGATTTAAAAACATTCTTGAGAACATATTTCCCAGAAATTCCTTTTTAAAATTAAAAATCAGTAAAGACAAGTGTATTTTCTCCACGTCGCCATTGTAGTTTCTCCACGCACCCAGAAGACCGTTTAATCCATATAACCAAATTCAAAACCGACGAAATTTTAGCTCTTGGGACTAAAATTTTATTCGTGGTGATGAAACAATTTGGTCTAGATGACTTAATTTGATTGGTGCGACTATATTTAGTTAAAAATAGGGTTACTAAATTTTAGTCGGTTTTAGGAACTAAATTTTGGTTCTTACAACCCTGATTTAGTTGTATCAACTAAATGGTTCTCTGGGTGCGACAAACTTGGGAAATAAGTGTCCTTTTCTGTCCCCTATGGCAGTACACGGTGTGCATGGTGCTCGTGGCAGTGGCTCAGCTGCTCACCAGCCTCATGCTCATCATCACCTCGGCCGGGTCCCGCACCGGCGTCCAGGCCATCTTCGACCGCGCTCGCGACGGCGACGTCCTCCTGGGCTACATCGCGGCCAGGATCCAGATGCTGGTGAGAGCCATGATGAGTTAACAGCACAAAGGAAAGCGTCGAGCTCGGCGTCCGAGGACGGCGACGGGAGGCAACTTTTCCGTCACAAAATTAAATGGTCAACATTCCTATTTTTCCTTTAACGACCCGGGCTGCGGTCTCGCTTGGAAAACAGAGGCGCTGGTGTTAACTAGCGCCTTGTAAATATGCTGAATAATGTGCTTGCGCTCCTAGTGAAGGCACAAACTAACGCCCCTGGGGTAAATTTACCCCCGGTGTAAAATTGACCCTGGTGTAAAAATCACCCCGGTGCGTGATAAATTACGCAACGTTCCAAGAACAATTTTGTGCTTTTACTTGTGTTTGTAAACGCACAAAAGCGTTTTAGGCACCCACAAAATTTTTGTTAGCGCGTTTTGAAAAGGTGCCAAGTGGTGCCTTACTTTCTTTCAAGTTGCGCCGGTCCACTGCTTGTCCAGTGCGTTTCAGGCCATTTTTCCGTGACGTCCACGCACACACGTTTAGGGTTGGAAGCCCTGGAAAGTTTCTGTAAATTTTCAGGAAAATTTCCGGAAAAAAATGAAAGTTTCCGGGAAAAAATGGAAAATTTCCCAGACTTTGGAGAGTTTTTCGTTATTTTCGGGAAATTTTCAGGAATTTTCCGGAAATTTTAAGGAAAATTTTGGAAGTTTCCAACCCTACACACACGTTCTCTGTCCGCAGTTCGAGTGCTGCGGCTCGGACGGCCCCGCCTACTGGGAGGTGCCCGGCAGCCAGGGCCTGCTGCCGGCCACGTGCTGCCACGGCGGGCTCGTGAGGCACTGCGACCTGTCCAACACGTTCACCGCGGGCTGCACCCCGCGCGTCGAGGGCTTCGTCGGCCGGTACGGCATCTCGATCGGCGCCACGGGCCTCGCCATCTCCATCACCGAGGTCAGTACACCCACCATGGTGAAAACACGTCGTGGTCGTGTGTGTCCACGAGAAAAAATGTTTTACTGAGCGGGACAACTAAATACTTAGCTAAGTAGCTAACCACATTAGCCATGTTTCGCTACGTAGATAAACTTACAAGGGAACCTTTTCAGGTGTAAATCTCCGATTTCGTTGAAACTTGGAAAATTTGAAGGTTATTTATGTAGAAACCGGATGGCACTTGAAATTTTTCCTAAACCAGACATTTAGTTTCCCCCTATATAAGGTAGGAGTAAGGTGTTAGAAAAAAATATTTTTTGAAAAATGTAAAGCAGTGTTTCTAAGGGGTAACTCGTCAAAGTAGTGCCCTTTGGACCAAAATTTTGTCCGTTTTGCTCTATTTTGAACCGTTAAAGCGGTAGAGGGATATTTAGAGCAAAAAACATTGTCAGGCTTAAGTAAACCCCTTGAAAATATTAAGTTTAGGAAAAATTTCAAGTGCCATCCGACTTCTATTATAATAACCTTTAAATTTTCCGAGTACCAACGAAATCGGAGATTTACACCTGAAAAGGTTCCCTTGTTAGCTATGCTCAGCTACTTAGATAAATTTAGCTATGTTTACCAACTTACCTAAATTTAGCTGTGTTTAGCTACTTAGCCAAATCTAGATATGTTTAGCAACTTCGCTAAATTTAGCTATGTTTAGCTACTTAGCAAAATTTTTAGCTAGACACAATATATTTTAAGCTAGATGGTCAAACAATAACTTATCCCTTATTGCTTTAACTATACAGCTAATCTTTTTTTCTTCTCTCGTGTGACGACTCGCTGGGGGAGATGTCTATGGTAGCGCATCGACCGACACAAACTAGGTCAACCGGTTGAAGACTGAGCTGCTGCGCTTCACACGGCCGTACTTCATTCAGGACTCTCCAGCGGTAAATAATTAGTTAATAAACCTTTTTTTCCGTCCGCAGGGGCTCGGCGTCTGGCTCTCGGCTGCCCTGGCGCTACGGTTCAGAGCCCTCGCCCGGCGGATGCAGAATCTCTAAAGTTTGTTGCGCTGGACGCTGACGTCACCACCACACCACAAAGTCTCTTTCTCTACTTTTTATTTTTAAGTAATTTTTTTTAAAGAGTAAACTTTTTAATCATGTGTACGCCTGCTTGCTGGCACAGCCCCAGGCAGTCGTGTCAGACGCTGCCACCCTGCCACCTGCTTCTCTCTCTCTTCTTCTTTTCCTCTCTCTCTCTCTCTCTCTCTCTCTCTCTCTCTCTCTCTCTCGCTCTCACACACACAGACCCTCTGGCGCGAGGCCAGCACTCATCCAGGTGGCCCACCAGGATGCTTGCCAGCAGACTCCACTGCCGCCGCGACTGATAAAAGAAGTGGTGAAAGCAGAAGGGGGAGGGGGTGGAGGCGGGCGAGGGTCGCCCCGCGCAAATGAGAAAGGAAATGTGTCCGAGAAAATCACATGGCGAAAACGAGACACAAGCCGAGGACAAACTGCAAATCGACGTAACGTTTGTTACTCGATAATTTCAAATTATAGAGGGTCTCTATAATTAAAACAATAATGACGGCCCCTCTAGGTAAACACGAGTTTTGTGGGAACTCGCATAAATAAGTAACGATAGAGTCAGGTCAATATCATTCGTACGGGGCAATTATCGAGCTTGACAAAATCAATCGAGGAGCTTCTTTTTAGTATGACGCGAGCGGCAGACATTTCCCCCTCAAAAAGGGGGAAGCTGAGGTGGAGGGGGGGGGGGGCGTATTTCCGCCTTCTGGTAGAGACAGTCTTAAGGACTGTCTAAAAAGTGTCTAGTACGTTATTGTTTCCTCTTCCCGTGCCAAGCGAAACAAAAACAAGCAGTAGTGTCGAAATGAGGACGACCGGCTGCTGCAAAAGGGCATGGCAGGAGGGGGAGGAGGGAGGGGGGGGGCTTGGAGGAAAAGTGGTGGCGTGACCCCCTGACCCCCTGACGACGGTACCGTACCGAATCACATTGAATATGCCTGGCCCGGGGCCAGAGTTTTGGAGGAAGGGGGGGGATGGAGGGGTTGTGGGGGAGGAGGCGCGGGGGGGAGAGAGAGACGCTTAGGGCCGACAAAACACCATGGGCAGCGGGAGGGCGGCGCGCGCGGGTGGTTTTAGGCCCCAAATGTAGTCCCCCCTCCCCGCTCCACAGGTACGGCGGCGGTGGTGCGAGGGAGGGGAGGGAGAGGGGAGGGGGAGGGGCACTAAAGTGCCGTGTGCCGCGTCATTACGAGCTGCCTGACGTCGATCGCCGCCGCCGGGCTGCTCTAGAGGCCGCCCAGCAGAGGCCCCGGGCAGGCACCGCCTGGCACCCGGGAGGGACCCGGCGCATGGCATGGCCCGTTGGGCCAGGCCAGGTCCGCCAGCTTAGTTAGGCCACTGACTCGGGCGCTGCTCTGACTCTGACGGACTACTGCGACGCGCGCCGCCGCCGGCACTACCCCGCGCGCGCATACCCGCGGGCCTGCGGGCGGGGTAGGCGCGGCGTAGGCGCGGCACCGCGCGGCACCGCGCGCCCACGCTACCCCCTGGACGGTGGTGGGGCGGGCCAGGGGGCGGG